TCAAGCGCATTTCCTCTGGTGTTGTTCGTCGAGCTACACAATAGCCAATCAGAAAATAGCACTATTGTATCTGGGTAAGATTTAACGCAACAACCAATGACAAAAATGTATCCAACCCCCCCTCCTCGTGCGTCCGTCAAATCACTCGTACATATTTTTTTCTCTCATCAAAACTGAATATGTTCATCAGCGGTTACAGTTATATCAAGCAAGGATACGTTTGTGTTTTATTTTGTGATTACACCGGAATGAATAGAGTCCGCAACGGCGATAGATTGAAGCGCGCGTCCGAGTGAAGACTGCGCGAGGCACAGAGCACTGTATCCATGACACTGATCGCCACGGCAACGAGCGCGCAGCTGGAGTTCAAAAACACATTTTAGCGCTAGATTTCTTATTTAATAGCGAACTAAATGAATGATCTGCTAGTTAACTGAAGATGTTTTATTTATTTATATTAGGTACATGTTGGGACAGACTCACTGTATCAAAAAAAAAAAAATCAATCTAACCATAGATGTGTCCAGTAGTGGTGGCTTTCTTAATCTGTTTAAAATAATTTTGCAAGGGTTCTTCACACACACACGCACACACACACACAAAAAGGTTTTTCTACCTCTCTCTTCCTCTCTAAATGCCCACAAAATCTGACTAAGCATCCCAGAAAAAAGCAAAGTTATAGATACAGATATGGAAGTTGTTAGTATTTTTGTTGCTGTGCACTTTACTACCTGTGGTCCTTTAAGTGTATTAGAAAAACTGATGGCTGACTGACTCAAAGCATTATTTTGGCTATAGCCTTTTTTGTTGCTGTTTTTAGTTTAAAGTAGTCTAAAGCTAAATTTAAAGACTCAGATGTTCTGTCTTTTATTCATTTTATTTTATATTCTACAGGAAAGTTGTATGTCAAGCCCTAAGCTGCTCCCAATAACCAAGCTGCTATGTTAATACATGTTGCTTGCAAATAAATACACAGGTGTCAATTCATTATGCATTGTCTTCTCTTAAATGTAATACTTAATGTACATTGTTGTTAAATATAGTTTAATAAGAAATGCTACATGATAAAAAGAAGTCTTCAAATAGACCCTGTAATCGGTGATCGGTATCGGTATCGGGTGATACAGCTTCCAGTAATCGGTGATCGGCCCCAAAAATCCTGATCGGAGCACCCCTAATAAAAATAAATTTATTATTATTATTTCATATTAATTTTAGTTTCATTTAAGTAATTTCTTTGCAATTGTATTATTTATTTAATTTTACGTTTTTTTTATTAAGTTTTAGTATTTAGTAGGGATTCACAATATATCGGCCACTATATCGGTATCGGCCGATACATGTTCATTTTTTAAATGACCGGTTTTTACCCTAATTATCGGTATCGGCCTGATATAAGAATGGCTTTGAACTGTGAGACTTTTGTTTTTGTAATCAGGCTCTCAAAAATGTTATAAAAATGTGGATTTATCGGCCAATATATCGACCAATATATCAGCTTTCAAATATAAAGAATTATCGGTATCGGACAAACTTTTCATATTTTACTATACATATATTATTTAGTATTAAACTTATTTCAGCTTTAATTAAATGAACAGAAATGTTTTTAATAGTTTTAGTTAACATACTTTAATAACAAAAAAACAAACGGCAAGTGTTTAGTTTTTAGTCCAACATAAACTCAATTGATTTTTACACAGATTAAGGCATATTTCACAACATTTGTTTTATTTCAGACAAACACCTAGAGTGCATTTTTTAAAAGAAGACATTTATGCTTGCCAAAGCTGGATTTATTTGATCATAAATACAGTAAACAGTGTAATATTACTCCAGTGTAAATCATCTGTTTTCTATGTGAATATACAGTAAAGTGTAATTTATTCCTGTGATCAAAGCTGAGTTTCAGCATCATTACTCCAGTCTTCAGTGTCACATGATCCTTCAGAAATCACTCTAATATGATGATCTGATGCTCAAGACACATTTATGATTATTATCAGTGTTGGAAACTGTTTAATATGTTTGTGGAAACTGATAGATTTTATTCTTCAGGATTCTTTGATGAACAGAGAGTTCTATACTTGACTAAGTGTTTACTGAGGATGTAGATATTATACTTATATTAAATGTTTTTTTTAGATTTATAGAACTGTTTAATATTGGAAATGTATATTAATCGATATATTGCACTTTCACACTGTCTGTTTTCAGGGAAGAAGTGACGTTTGATCAGCGCAGGAGGACGAGAGCGTTTGGATTCTCCGGCTTCAATAGTTCAACAATACTTCATGCAAAACTTCATCAATTAAACATGTTAATCGCCAGTGGAGTTTTTCTCTTTTTTTCTGGCATCTCAGTAGTCCATGACTGCGTCTGAAATTGAATACTTTTATTGTAATGCTGTCACACTCTGTTATTTTAGTATTATTTATATACTATAGTATTAATATTTTGAATTAGCTTTCCTTTTAACATTTTCATTTTTCTTTTTCATGTACATTTTAGTAATTTTATGTGCTTTTGACATTTTAAGCTTTTAATATTTGTGTGTGTGTATATATATATATATAGCTGTAATTTATTTTTGTTTTAGTAATTTTAATAGCCTACTTATCTTTTGTAATTTTGTAATTTTTTGTAATTTCTCATTTATTTATCTTTTGCTAAATTTGTAATTTTCACCCCAATCCCCCCCTGTACTAAAAACGGGAACATTTTTCCTTTGCGTTTTTCGCGTATAGGCGAGACGGATCCACGAAAACGACTGAAAGCGCTGTTCTTTTTAAAGAGAAGCACGCCTATAGGCTGAACACGCATGACGTTCGCGTTTTTGTGAGATTTGTGAGAAACTCCACAAGTTTATATGGAGACGATAATGATAGTGTTTTCAGAAACTTCCACTCTGGGTTCGTTTACGACTTACCAAAAACGGAAAAGTTTTTACTTTGCGTTTTTCACGTATCAACGTTATCAAAATGATCCCGTTCACGTGGATCCCCGAAAACGACTAAAAGCGCTGTATTCTGATGCCAGGCCAGTAGATGGTGCTGTTCTTTGTAAATAAACCGACTGAACACGTAACACATGACGTCATCGTTTTCACGTTTACACGGAGACGATAATAGTATCGTTTTCAAAAACTTGCAGTTTCCCGTTTTCAAAAGTTTGAATTTTCGGGCCCCCAAAACGCTGTTGTCGTTTAAATGAACGCCCAAAACACATGAAAAGTTTTCTGTTTCTAGTTGAAAACGGTGTTGTGTAAAGTGCCCTTAGTTTTCAAACGAAGATTTCACGTAAGACACATGACGTCACAGTTTTCACAAGTTCACGTTTTTGTAGTTTACGCGGAGACGAAAATGGTATCGTTTTAAAAAACTTTTATTTACACGACGTAGTAAAAACGAAAACGTTTTTCCTTCGTGTTTTTCACGCATCCCCGTTCACACGGATCCGCGAAACGACTAAAAGCGCTGTATTCTGCTGTCAGGCCAGTCGCTGTTCTTTGTAAAGAAACACGCAACTATAGACAACACGTAACACGCGTGCGCATGACGTCACCGTTTTCACAAATTCACATTTTTGTAGTTCACACGGAGATGATAGCGGCATCGTTTTTAAAAAACTTCCACTTTGGGTTCGTTTACACGACGTACTTAAAACGGAAATGTTTTTCCTTTGCGTTTTTCACGTATAAACACTATCAAAATGATCCCGTTCACGTGGACCTGCGAAAACGACTAAAATGCTGTATTCTGCTGTCAGGCCAGTAGATGGCGCTGTTCTTTGTAAAGAAACACCTGATAGACTGAACGATTAATGCGCATGACGTCGTGTTCATAAATTCGTAGTTTACACGGAGTCGATAACGGTATCGTTTTCAAAAACTTGCAGTTTGAAACCCGTTTTCAAAAGTTTGTGTAAATGAACGGCCGAAACGCATAAAAGGTTTTCTGTTTCTAGTTGAAAACAGTGTTGAGTAAACAGCCTTTATTTTTCAAACGAAGATTTGAGGCATTTTGAAGCTGGTGATGTGTAAGCGATGCTTTGATGTAAACGCTGCCCGTCTGGAGGAACTTCAAAGTGTCCGGAGGCTCTGGCACTCGTCATCGCTCCACTAGCCCCGCGCGGCCCCGCCGACTCGGCTAATGAGCTCCAGCTGCGGCGGCTCTTTGATGAAGGACCTGCTGAGGGCTAGCGGAGCCGCGCAGGTGAACTGATGCTCGCGTGAACAGTTTAACCCGCACAACACCGCCTTGTTCTCCCTCATCGTGTTCAAAGGTAAAAGTGATCTGAAGAAGACTTCAAAAAGTCCCCCTTGTGGTGAAAATCCAGCGTTTAATGTTGTTTATGTGTCTATGTGGTGTTTTTAATACGCTTTAAGACACACCATGTGTAAGTTCATAAGTCGACAGCATTGCTGAGTATTTTCTGCTTAAAACTGCAGTGAACCAAAGACAGTCTCAAAAACACGGTTTGAAATCGCTGGTGTTTCTGACGTCACAAACGACCTTGTAACCAATCAGATCAACGTGTGATCGTCAACCAGTGGATCTCTGACCTGAGTGAGTGAGTGAGTGGAGGCGGGGCTCATTTGCATATTCATAGGGTGTCGAGTTACATTCAAGATATTTTAGGACATTTTTTTTCCAAGGAAAATACTTTAAATATGTCATTTTGGTGATCAAAGATTTGTTTTAAGGGATACAATTATTGACTACAGGGGACTTTAAGAGTTTATGATCTGCATCACATTTGAATTAACTTAAACACTTGATTAAAGACCTTCAAGTCAACATGAAGTCATAATGTTTCTAATTCAAGTTCAAGTATGTTTGTTGTTTCTCTCCCTACAGTGTCTCAGTGGCACCACAGTGCAAAACAAACACATTTGACATCTTACAAGACGACAAATATCACAGTTAAACAAATTGCGTGTTTCTGTGCTGATCCAGAAGAGGTTGTTCGGGTCCCTCTAGTGGACGGACTTCACGAGCGCGTTCACAATGCGCGTGCTGTAGTTCTGGTCACGTGTTTTCTTCGCACGTGGATTCCTACTGTTGATGATTTGACATAATTCAGGATCGTTAGGTTCTTCAAAGCTCATCCTGAAGTTGCAGATGGATCTGTCCTTTCCAACAAACTCAAGAACACGCAGTATATCAGACAACTTAATCTAGACATTTGAATCAAATCCGCAAATTCGTTTGAAGAACCAAAAATAGCCAGAGATGAGTGATCATGATTAGAATATCTGGCATCTGTCAATCATCTCAACGGACCCCAGACGGCAGTACAGCGAGTGAACAGCAGGTGGCGCTGTTGTCAAATATATCTTTATACAGGAGTCGAACTGTTACCAGGACCAGGTTATTATCGTTAACTACAACTAAAAAAAAGTTACTTGAAATCAAGTAAACATTAACTGAAAATAAAATAATATTAAATATAATAAACGTATTTGATCTCAGCAAGTTGCCTAGAAACATTAGCTACTCATTTTTATTTAGTTTAACTTGTACTAAAATAACCAAAACTGCAACTGATATAAAAATGAAAACTTAATAGACTTAAAGAAAAAAAACTAATAATAATTATTTGTTTTTTCAACTTTTAAACAAAATTTTAAAAGAAAATTACTAACTGAGAATATATTAAAAAATAATTCAATCTCAGTATCAGTCGCTGTTGAGAAGAAGGAAGATTATATGCTTGACCGAACATGATGATATAAACTGAAGGTGAATTTTAATGTTTCCAGCATATAGTGTTTTTTTGTGTGTGTTTTTTTAGTTGTTGTTTTTTACAGCTGTTACGTTTTTATTCAGTAAACGAATCAGGCACGTGCACAGGTAGGGCTCAACCTGTGCAGAGCACATGCCCTTTTTGCCGAAGTGGCCTTTTTTTTTTGGTGGTGTTTTTTTATATTTTTTTTTTATAAATGAATGCTATTGGTCACCCTTTAAGTCTATCTGTCTGTTTTAAAAATATTTAGCCAATGAAAGATCTTAAAAAGAGCTTGTGTAAATCTTGTTCGATCTTAAACTGTCAGTAAAGCTGATAACTCCGCCCCCTCTATCGTGACTGAATGAGCTGAAGCTCCGCAGCGACCGCACAGCACAGCAGACAGCAGCTGAACGGAGATACGAAGTTTTGCATGCATGCATGGGTAAACAAAGATCTTGTTGTTTGAATAAGTACTAAACACGTTGTCTATAAAAGCGCATATTTTATTTATTTGATGTCTGACTAAGACATGTGGGACCTGAGAGAGAGGGCTATGCTAGCATTTGCCATAGTCATTGCCAATACATAGCCTACACTTAAAGGTGCTCTAAGCGATGTCATGTGTTTTTTAGGCCAAAACATTTTTTGTCACATACAGCAAACATCTCCTCACTATCCGCTGGCTGCCTGTCCCCTGAACACACTGTAAAGAAACGCGATCTCTGTAGACAGCCCATGCTTCACAAACAGCACCAAAAACAAACTGCAGCGACCCGCTCCCCAAAACATAACAAACTGTTCCAGCCAATGACCGACAAGAAGGGTTTGGGGGTGTGGTTTGGGGGGTTAGTGTGCGGATGAGGAGGAGGGAGGGTCTAGCTAGCCTCCGTTTTGTTTGACAATAGTTCGAACGTCAACAAGAAGTGACGTCACCCAGGATCGCTTAGAGAACCTTTAAATAGCCTGTGCATACAGTAGCATTTCATTTTTTTATAAAATGCGATTTTGACCAAATGTATTTTACAACAGGAAAAACTGAGCGCCTATATAGCTATAACAATCTAGTTGGTAAGCTGTTGATGAAAATGTAATGATGCCGCCGGCGCCGTTTCCATCGGAGAATCATAAGCACATGCGCGCCCCCGCGCTGTTCATTTATGATTTATGATTGCTGATACACTTAATTTATTAACATTTAATAATTTAACATTTAATGTTATGGTAATAATATTAAATTATGGTTAATTCAAGTCTGTTAATATGCACGTATTCGCTATCTAATTTTTGAATCTACAGTATTCTATACCTACTCTCCGGTCGTCCTCACATGTATAAATGTAGTTAAACATGGTTTTACTACAGTAATGTTGTAGTAGTAACAAAAAAAAAAAAAAAAAAAAAAAACATTACAGAAGATCACTGTGAAATCTTTATATTTTATCATGCAGAATGTAATTCATGATTTAATTCATTCCAAGGCTTAATTTATTTGATCCAAAATAAGCAAAACCAGTAATATTGTGAAATATTTTTACAATTTAAAATAACTGTTTTCTATTTGAATATATTTTAAAATGTAATTTATTTCTGTGGTCAAAGCTGAATTTTCAGCATCTTTAGTTCAGTACTCTGCAGTGTCACATGATCCTTCAGAAATGCTTTTCACTGCAACTGTACTTTTCACACTATTTTATCATTGTTTTCATTGCTGGCTTATTTTATGGGAAGTGTAGTGAATAAGAGACCTTCAAGAGACCAGCATTGGTCCTCCACAGTATCAGGTTTTTGCCATCAACTGCAACTGTGGAGAGATCCTTTTCAAAAATGAGGTTAATTAAGAACCAACTCCTAAGCCTTTGCTCAGAGGAGAGACTCTCAGACCTTCTCCTCATAGCCATAGAGAGGGACAGCCCAGTGGATCACAGTGAAGTCATAAACATCTTCAAGCATGGCTCACAGAAGGTTGCTGTTGTAATTAGGTTTAAAGAAGCCCTGAAACCCTGTATATCTATATTATCTATATTATTATTATTATTATTATTATTACGGTTATTAATAGTGAATAAATCTAAAGCTTTTGAGACTATTATTTTTTTTGTATTGAATTTGTCATGAAGATGTGACCATTTCCTCCTTTTATGTAGGCTTACTAAATAATCTTGATATAAAAAAAGGGAGGGGGGTGCCCTTTTTTAGTTTCAGCACATGCCCCTCAAAAGGTCTGTGCACGGCCCTGAAACGAATCACAGTTCCAGCTGGAACACTGAACTTTAAAGGATCGTTAAAGGAATGAAAACATATTTTCAAATAAAATAAATAATTATTTAAAAAATATATATTTTAATAAAAATATAAAAGAAAGTCAACTTCAACCGAAGCTAAAGTTCAGCTGTCATTGTCTCTCCCATATTAATGTTTTATTTTGTCAAATTACAATGTGTGTGTATGACTTTTTAATAATGATTTTGCAATGAATCATAGAGCTATAAATAAACCCTCTTATAGATGTTCTTCATGAAAAAGCTGCTAATGAATGGATTTAAAGGTTAGTAAGTCTTCTATCACTTTTGTTTGAATGTTTATCTCAATGCAGTGATTTGACGAGTGCTTACACTGTTTTTGTTCATGCAAATGCATGATGAAAAGGGTAATTCATTAATGCATAATTGCATTAATTAAATGGTCGGTGACATGTAGAATTGAGAAACTGGTGTTATAGCGACACCGGTGGCCGTTCAGTGGAACTGCAGCTCTTACTGCTCGTGCTCGTTAACAGTAACACACACACACACACACACACACGAGAGACTGAACGTGAATCAAGACACAATATACTTACGGAGAAGATCATTTAGTTCTTTACTTAGAAGTAAATAGAAGTTGGAAATACTGTTTAAGTGATATACTGTTATCGAACATGAACCACTGCTGAGAGCGACGTTCAGATGAATATGTAAATATGTGCTGATAGTGATATTCCTCTCAATAACAGAATAAACACACAGAAATGAGAAAGCAGAAGTTCAGAAAGCATCTGATCAAGTGATGTGTGTGTTTACAGCAGATCTGAGATCATCATGTCCACAGATGAGCTCATTATAATCACACTGTTATGATATATGATTATAAAGTATATTTGAGACTGTAGACTATATAGATCTGGCCATGAGAGACTATAGTTTGAATGAATCCATGACACACATTAACATTACAGCACAGAACGGCTCTTTCAGCTTATTATCCTGAACATTGTATAAGCATTCGCTCGTTTCATGTGTCGTTGAACGGAAGAGAGTCTCGGGCGCAAACGTCACGTGCTTTTGATTTTCCCGGCAAAAACGACCCGAGTCCTTCACATAAACATCAGTCTACAGGCTTTCATAGACTCGGGGAAGATCTCATAATTTAAGTTTTGTTAGAGCTGTTCACAGATCGGCAATAAAAAAGTGATTTTTCATTTTTAATGCATAGAAATAAATGAGGTTCAAAATGACATTTGAAGTTCATTGCATGGACAAAAACGCAGAGGCGTTCAGAATATCTCCTTTTTTTGTTGTTTCACAGGTTTGGAACCACATGAATGATCATCATGGGCCTTTAACTTGCACCGAACCTGGAAGATTCCTCTCAGAACCACGACAAACGCTCCGTGCAACTCGATAGGCATCAGTAATCCTGGATATTTAACCCTTCATTCTTCAACGGCATGCTTGGAAACCCCGCGTGACTCTCTTGTGTCTGTGTCTAAATGTGTTTATATATAGAATAACTGTGCGATTCCTTCACAGGTGCTTCTGGACACACATTCCAGCCTCACCCTCCTCGAGCTGAAATACCCTCCTCAGTCTGGAGAAAGTGGACACAGATCGGGTCTTCTCTCTGGACTGGTTCTGCTCAGAATGCTGGATCTGGGAAGGTAATGGATCTGATGTTAATGATCTCTGTGAGACTCTGGCTATTTTGACGGTTTTGTTTTTTGACAGATAGTGAGTCACGCGCTCCAAAATAGAGTCAGAAATACTTCATGCACCCTGAGGAGAAGAACTGCCACGAATCTGCTTCTGTGGAACTGGAAACCCAACAGGACTCGTCAGCCCGAATCTCTTCAGCATGAGATGAGCAGGTCCACAGAACCTGACGGATGGGAGTCTTCCTGGATCTGTTGATCTACACATATGCCATCATAAAAAGCTATAAAATAGACTACTGGTCAAAAGTTTGGGGTCAGTAAGAATTTTGAATTCTTTTATTCAGCAAGGACACTATAAAACATTAAAGAATGTTACAAAAGATTATTTCAAATAAACGCTGTTCTTTTGAACTTTCTATTCAAAGAATCCTGAAAAAAAGTATTGTCAAGTTTCATTTCTATTTTTAACATTATTTATTTTAATTTCACAATTTCTTTTACGTAATTCACTTAGTGTGTTTTATTTTGATGTGTTCATGGTACAAGTATTTGAATTTTACATGTTTATGATTTAATTTAACAAGTCTTGTTTTGATTTGTTATTGTTTTACATGTTTATAATTTAATACATTTTTAATAAGTGCTTATTTTAATTTTTTGAAATATATTTTTATGATTATACATTTTACTGTTTGATTTCATTTTAAAAATATTTTATTTTAATTTTACATTTTTATGATTTAATTTAAATTTTATTTGTTTTCATTTTACATGTTTATGATTAAATAGGCCTACATTTTAAGTGTTTTCATTTTTTAAATATTTTTATGTTTATAAATTTTTAGTGTTTGATTTCATTTAGAAATTATTTTAATTTGACATTTTTATTATTTAATACATTTTTAGTAAGTTTAATTTTGATTAACACATGAAGCAGCACAACTGTTTTTAACATTGATAATAAGAAATTTAACGGAGCTGGAATAAATTACACTATCACAATAGAAAACAGTTTAAACAGCAATATTAATATTTGTATTCTGATTAAATAGATGCTGTCTTGGTGAGACTTTTGAGCGTGAGCCCAAACTTCTGAGCTCTAGTGTACCTGAACGTCACGACATGAGCGCCTCCGCTGGACATTATTTAAACGGTGCGGGCGTGTTTTCCCCGATCGGTGCCGCGCGTGTGTGTCAGCTAACGCTGTGCTGCGCCGTCGTCGCTCTGGTGATCCACGCCGCCGGTTACAGCGCCACCTACGGGACGTTCTGTATGGCGGTTTGGACGTCGTGCTTCTCCATCACAGCGTGTGTGTTCGTGCTGGACGTGACCCGCCTTCACGCGTGTCTCCCCGTGTCGTGGGAGAATCTGACCGTGACGTTCGCGTCTCTAGCCGTGTTGCTCACGCTAACCGCGTCTGTCATGTATCCCGTGTACTTCGTGCGTGCGAACGACTGTCCTTCCAACAACTGCGACGTACGAAACTACCGTATCGCGGTGACCGTGTGCTCGTGGGCGGCGTGCGTCGCGTACGGGACCGAGGTTTTTCTGTCGCGCGCTAAACCGGGTCGTGCCGTCGGCTACATGGCGACTCCATCCGGCATCCTGAAAGTGGTGCAAATCTTCGTAGCATGCGTGATTTTTGTGATGCTAGCTAACGGGAGTGATTTCTCACGCCACGTGGCGACGGTTTACTGCGTGTCGGTGTTCGGCGTGTGCTTCGCCGCGTCGGTGCTGCTGGTGGCGCTGACGGTCTCGGGTCGGACCGCGGCGGTGCGACTGCCGTTCGAGCGGGTTGTGGTCGTCTACACGTTCGTAGCGGTGCTGCTATACTTTAGCGCTGCTGTGGTGTGGCCCGTGTTTAGCTTCGACCGGAAGTACGGCGCTCCGCTACGACCGCAGGGCTGCCCGAGCGGGAAATGCTCGTGGGACGTGAAGCTCGCCGTCGCCGTGTTGTGCTTCATCAACCTCTCACTTTACATCGCAGACCTCGTGTATTCGCAGAGGAACCGGTCGGTGGCGCAGCGTTCTCGAGTCTAGCGAGAACATGCGTCGATGAAACCGTGAGACTGTAAAGACTACGTCTGTCCCTTACATTATGTAATAAGTTCAATATGGCGTCTAACCCATAAACTGTAAAAAACATATGTTCGTAGTGTGCGTGACGTCACCCGTAGTGTTTCTGAAGAGCATTTTTGAAGCCCAAAGTGGGCGGAGCCGGCCGTCGCCATCTTGGCAGCGTCACTCCCGGATAAACGAACATGTGCAGCGAGGCGGATTAGCTGAGGTGACGCTAACACACAGCAGACAAACGCTAGCAGTGACATCAGCGGCAATCCACCTGTCACTCAAGTGGCCACGCCCTTAATTATGCAGAACTTTAAGGCTTAATATAATTTAAACGGATGAGTTATAAAAAGATTCACCCCTCTCACAGTCGTCATGAAGGGCAAAATTAGCAATATAGACCAAAACCACTTTTAGCACCAGACTGTGATCATGTTTATTCTGCTGTAAAGTTGGGCATTTTAACATGCGGGTCTATGGGACTGAGTCTCTTCTGCAGCCGGCCTCTAGTGGCCAGTGGAGGAACTGCAATGTCATCAAGATGTTTCCGTGACAGCTGCATTATGTAAACGTGGTCGATATTGAACTGAACTGAATCAACACTGAACTGAGTCACTATTGTCTTCTGTAACTCGTTTCATAACTGATGATTGAACTGAATTGAGCTTAAAAATGACACTCGTATTTGAAGTTTGCATCAATTCTGTTGTTTTCCTGTTTATTACTGTGAAGCTGCTTTGAAACAGTGTGTGTTGTTTTAAGCGCTATAGAAATAAAGCTGACTTAAGTTTGA